CTTTCGTATGCAGCACAGCCACGAAAAAGCCCGGAAGTCAAAATTATGAGGCACCCATCCAGCAAGCTGATATACAAGTGAAAAAGGAGGTAAAGCCCTTCCGAAGTTTGAGCAGTTCAAATATCTCGACTCAGTTATTTTCGACGATGACACAGCTCAGTCAGAGTTAAATAAGAGGATTGCCCTAGCCTCAAGTGCTTTTGGAAATATCTGCCCAGTATTTCGGTTGAGGAAGGGTTTAATATTCCCACGAAAATCCTCCACTACTTGCCTCTGTCAGATCAGTGCTTATGGAGAATCACAAATGACGGCTATACTGCATCAAGCAGCATTGGTTTCGACTGATAATAAAAGTTAAATGGCAGGACCACGTGAGGAATTACTCTGTTATTTTCCGGGCGCAGGTGACTTCGGTAGATGTAGAGATTAAGAAAAGTAGGTCATTCTTGTTAGACAAGCTGGTTGAACAATAACCGCTTATTTAAGCTCATTAGCTTATTGCTTATTAGGATAAACATGGCATACGTCAATCAGGAGGCCAGTAGCAACATTGATGACCAACGTAGGGAAAGATCTGCTTTTGGCGAAGAATTGTTCATTCTGCGGTACAGTAACCGGTGCCTTCAAGCAAAAGTGTTAAAAAGTTGTAGATACAGCGGACACAGGAAATGAAAGAGGTTTTGCTTATGCAACCAACGAATGATCATGATTTTAATAAATATCAGGATGTTTTTTTGCTATACTAATGATAGTGCACTTGATAGTGTTAGTTAAAGAATGTAATCAAATTTGGTGATCCTGCATTTTGTAGCGCCTTATGAAAAATTCATGACAAATGTTCATGGCTACTTCTACAGCTAGGCTTAAATAAGATAAAAAGTAAAATTACAACGGGATTAAGCCAGAATATGAGAAATTTATTAATAAATTTCTACGAAACCTTCGAATATTCAGCACAATGTGCAAGCATCAGGGTGTAATGTTGTAATCATAACAGTTTTTTGCGTTGAGAAAGAAAGTCATATTAAAGTTTAGAATTCTTAGTGACTAGGAGATTTATTTTCAGGTTTGTTGTTATTTTTATCTCAGTGAGTCTGGCTATGAGCTTCAGAAGTGAGATGGGGGGGGAGGATTTTTTAAACCAAGTTTTGCGTTTTTATCTAAATTTAATTTTGTCCATTTGACCGTTCTTCGTACCATGGATGTTGGATTTATGACAAATGCTGCATGCATAGTTCCTTCGTAAGTTTTTTCCAGTTTTTACGGTCCTGATACCTTCAGTATTCCACATTATGGTACAACTAAAAATTTATTTGCCACAATATATGTTAAGCGGTCGCCAACGTCTCACCCACTGATCACCTTTCTCATAGGATTGGTGTAACTGGCCGGACATGAAATTCGAAGACATGGACACTACGGTAAACGTGCAGCAATATATCCAGCAGTTGATTAGCAAGGACCCGTCGAACGTTGCTGCAATACTGGCTCCTCCAGAAGGGCAAGACGACTCCGTCTGGAAATACGAACACTTGAGGTAAGCGAAGTCAGTTTTTGCGCGCTTGTGAGGCTTCATTGCAGAATTTGTGATTTAGGCAGTTTTGTTTGCAGCTCAATGGACTGGCTGTTAGATTGCAGGTTTGTACGAAGGGTAGGAGGTGATAGTTACCGTTTAGCTGAACTTTCGTTTTTCCTTTCCATGCAGGAGGTGTGTGATCCAAACGTGTGCAAGCTGATGACTGCTACCGAGCAATGGATTTTCCTGTGCGCCGCTCACACGAATCCAAAAGAAGTAGAATAATTTTTTCCTTTCCCTTAAAATAGCAAGGATGTCTTTAATATGTGCTTTTTTCCTGTTCAGTGCAGTGCCATCGACTACACACGCCATACACTGGATGGTGCCGCTTGCTTACTTAACAGCAATCGTTATTTTCCGAGTAGGTAAGTTCTTTTGGGTACTTGTTTTGCTATAAGTAGCTTTAAACATTGTTCTCGATGATTTTGGATCAAGAATTGAATGAATCTTGAGTTTCTTGATTTATGGCTTGAGCCCAGTTGCAATGATTGCTGACGAGACAACGATGGCGAATTCTTCCCATAGTTGATAGAGCGAAGGCTACTGATTACAGAAGCGATTCATATTCATGCTCTTAAAAAGCAGACTTATATTGAATAAAAATCTCAATTTTCGTTGCAATGAAGAAAGGAAAGTCTTTAATTATCGAATGTCAGTTTTCCTTACACTTTCATGATGGCGCGATTCTATTGCTATCGTTTTCTTCAAATTTTTAGTGCGGCGCTGGTCTCCGTTTCTCTGCCATCAGCCAGGAGGGCTTAATTTTAAACGCAGAGTCTGCAGTTATATGACAAGCATGCTATGTAGTCTTTTCTTTCCTTTACACAAAATGATGCTTGTCAACCTCGGAAAGAAGAAAAACGAATGATCCGATCAGGGCTGTGACCGTGGATTTCTCGGTTCTGAGTCTGACATTCACGACTGATAACCCAGGAATGAAACGATGTGTGGTAAATTCCTTGCTCAAAGGAATTAATGTTGAGACAGAGATTGCCCAGCTCCGCTGTTGCCGGTTCCATGCCCCGTTGAGAAATGAGAACGGTTGAAAACCGTGGCAAAATCTCCTTAAAACATAGCCACTTGTCCTTTATGA